TGGGATTGTCCATATCGAATCTGACACCCTGTATATCGTTGGTTTTAACTACTGGCGATATTAAATTTGTCTGTGGGTTTTTTAAATTTTTGTAAGAAATATACTTATTTATGTTCTATAGAAACATAAAAAATGTTTTATTAAAGCCTGCAGTATATGTATACATAAACGTATATTAATATACATAAAAATTAATATTTTATTTTAAATTAGGAAGAACTATTTAATTTATGTTGTAGGCAATATTTAAATAGCAATATTTAAGATCTGTGTACAGGGTGTCCTGAAATTCGCGAATCAAAATACCATAGCAAGAATGTCGTCGAAAAAATAAATTAAAAAGTTATTTGCCAGTTTTCGTTCCGAGCAGTAGTTTTTTTTAGATAAAAAGGTTCAAAACAGGCCAATCATACATTACGGTTGAACGGAAACCTGTCCGTGAGTCGCGCGTCGATAGTGTTAGTGCACTAAACTTCAGGACACCCTGTATTGTACTTAGAGTACCTTAAACAATAACCTTTTTATAAAAAAGGTAAAAAATGATGCCAAGTATAAGCGCCATCCAATCTAGAGTTATATAATTTAATTATTTGAATATATTTCAGCGGTTTAGCAGTAGGCCTGTCAACTCGCGTACTCGCGTAAACTACACGGTCGGTCTCGCGCGCGCGTTCTAGCTACGGTTATACTTTGCGCGAGACACTACCGTGTCGCGTGATAGTTATTATTTAATTTAATAATTCTACATATATTATGAAGGTACAGATATTACGACAGAAATGTTTGGATATGCTAGAAGAACATACACTGAAACGAACCGACTCGAATTTGATCTATTAGATATACAGACTAAAAACCTGCCTACAAAATATGTTTCTGAATTTGATTTCATATTTTCATTCCATACTTTGCATTGGTGCACTAATATTAGGTAAGAATATTCTTAAACAAAGTTAATTTGATTTTTTGTATATACATTTTTAAATATGCGGTTACATAAGAAATATTTTTGATAATATAATGCAATTTTTTAAGAAATTCAAACATGAATTTGAGCGCATATACAAGGAGACACAATTAAGCTATAAACGAAGGGAAGATCATAAATCAGTTACATTAAATGCATACAAAGTATTAATAAGCTTCGCTAAAAAGGATGTGCCATAATTTTTACATATTTTATATCTTTTATTATATATTATATGTTTATTATAGGTATATTTTGCTTATTATACTATATTATATAATATATAATATATACTATATTATATATTATAAACAGCTATAAATTTTAACTCGGTCCTTTTTAAGATTTTAATCAATTAGAAACATAAACGCCATTTAGGACCTGGCATAGGTGGTGGTAGCCAATTAAATTACTACGTGAATCCATATACCGTAGTTTTTCCAACCTGTCCTGCGGGCCGATACTTTCTGGACATATAACACAGGTTTTTCGTTAGGTGGAATCATTATCGTCAGTGAATTCACGTGTTATAAAATCGCTGGACGATTTTGATAAATTATTTTAAATGCTATACTTAGCATCTATTACAATAACCTTCCCGTATTGAATGTAAAATTCTTATTGCAAAAAATATTACCTCAGCCAGAATTCGAACCTCGGACCTCCCTCAATCCGTGACGGGCGACTCAACTCGACCACTGATTTTATATGAAAGCTGTTTATTTTGCCATTAGTACAATTAGGGAAAATTACGATAAAACCAATAAACAAACTTAGCGCTAATACAATAATATCTATCGCTGTGGGTTCAAGTAGAGTAACTCTCAGGAATTTGTTGCAATACGAATGGTAAATGGTAGACGAGAACTTGCAGTAATATTATCTGTTATAAAATCTGAGTGAGGCCGACTCATGATATTAACTTAAATTTATGTCTAGAAGCGCAAATCTTGGTTCGCACCTTGATTCGCATCATCTGCGTGTTGCAAAACTGAAAGAACCATTTAGTGTGTAGTCTGCGGGATTGAAATAAGATGTAGGAAAGAAAAATATGATTAGGCACTAAGATCCAGCTTGATCGTTAAAGGCATTGCTATTTCTATTATTACTTTTGTTATTTAATACAAGACATAAAGCGGTCCAATTAATTTATCATTATTGTTGAAATTTATCTATTTTTATGCGCATACTAACTAATAACAAATAACTGGTTCATGATTACGTTATGAAATCTTTTTCAAAGCAATCAATTCAAGTAAAGCATTCAAAAGTTTTAATATAACTTGTTAATTTATGCTTGGAAGTACATCGTTACGTTATATTCCATTGCAATTTTCTTAATATCGTATATCTTATTTGATGTCACAGACAGAGCACCAACAGTTTATACACGCGCGCGTGCTATTACGCGTCAGTTTGACGAGCCAAATACTTAGCGCCAAACGAAACGTGGATAGAAATCAGGTAGGCACAGTGAAGAGGCGTAAACCATGGTTGCTCACGGTGCGCTGCTGTCGCCAATGGCCCATGTGAATGTGACTCCGCCTCTTAAGCGTGGCTAGCCTCCTCCCCCAATCTGCCGGCTTTACTGTATCGTTCAGTTGTGTTTAGTCGAGCGTGCGCACGGACGTTTATGCGCGTACGTATAAGTGAATGTGCGCTAAGCACACAAGGGCGTTTTAGGATCGAATGCATTTTGCGTGATCATCCATAGCCAATCGGTTACTCAACCACTTGTGGCCTTTTCAAACTACGTTCCACTCTTTTCTTCCACATCGCTCTTTTTTTCATAGATTTCTTTTTCTAGTATTTCACATACACACACATATACAGATATATCGCAGCGAGTGCATAATGCATATTGGAAACGAAGCTTAGTTTGTTTTTGAATGTTCTTCAAATTTAACCGATTCATTTAAATGCATATATAAACCACTTTACTACAAGTATGCATATGTGTATGTGTAGAACGTTATATGCTAAGACGGCTGAGATGGTGTGTACTCTAAGAGGCGTAGAGGGATTTTCTTATTTCTGCTCTGGTAAATCTGTCGCTCCAGTCAGTGAGGCAGCGAAGGGCAAGCCGCGCGCCGTTGACCGTGTCTCTGCTTCTTTTTTCGTCTACTCAGCTGCCAATGCTACGATTCGTGGTGTACACAAGCAAGACGGTGCGGTATAATAGTTCGCGAATCTATCTTCTTTTTATGTTCGCGTCGTGTCACGCTTTTGTCATGTCTTCTGCAACATATTACACACCATTATTATCACGTTTTTGTATCTGACATTGCAAACCTGATAACGTCAGAAAACAAGACTTTATTATTCCTGTTTACCGCAGTGTGCACTTTATAAACTTGAATACAACTGTGTAATAATTATTATCATACAATTTTCTCTCAATCGCAGATATTACGTAATATTTATATCAAAATGTATACTTATTGAAATTCGTTCGGTAATTTACACATTTTACATGAATTTGTCGTGTAAAATCATGCGTGTACAGTTTACAAGATGTTCAAAAATTAAAATAGTTGAATATTAAATATCAAATTTATAATGGTACTAGTTATTTATATCAACACATCAAAATTAATTACGTATGCTATGAGTAACTTCTTTTTCATTAACATATACGCAATTAAGTTACAAGTAAGCGACTTTAGATCTTTGCGGTCTTGTTGTCTGAATAAGGAAATATTTTTATTATTACAACATTGTTTACAATTATTTGTGTGCTTTGTAATATACACATTTCTTGTAATGGATAATTTATTATTCGTAATTGTTTTCGTACATTGTACAGCACATGTACATTCTACACAAAACATTAAAACTGCATTTGAAAAAGCGTAACAACAATAGGACTATCAACAAAACTCAGTTCTTCTTCAGTGCATTTTGAAAACTACAGACGGAACGCTACAACTTCGGAGCTTTGTGTAACCGACGGCTACTGGATTATACGTTTTTATAATGGATCCGATTATACTAGGTGAGAATAATTCAATTGATATTATTAAATAACACTAAATTATGCTAATGTATATAAACTTATGTAAATATAACGTATTTATTATACGTGTAATATATTTATCATGTATAATATATTTATTACATTTGAAGTAAAACCGAAATAGTTAATCATTTAACTAGTCATATAAAACAACTATATTTACATATTTTTATTATATTCTTTTAGTTACATTATAGAGGTTTTATATAATTCAAATGTTGCTAAATACATCATTATCCAAAAATGTGCATATAAAACAAAAAATTAATATTTCATACATGGTTTAATTTAAATCAGCAAGCGTGTATGTTACATACTGTATATTCTTTATAACTTTATTATCAAAAATTTAGGTTTTTATAAATGTACAAGAATGTTGTCGTGGATTTTGTATTACGACGCCAGATAATAACATTTAAAAATATTTTCAAACATCTATTTTAGTAATAACTTTAAATGATATTAGATATTATACTTAAAATATATAAAAATAAACAAACTACCCAGTAAACAAATTTATATTAAGAACAATATATAAACTATCACTCAGAAGAACTAGAGAAAAAATAGAAAGAATAAGTGTTATATTAAACTAATCTCTTTTACTCTCTTAATCAATTAACATCTTACTCTCGATGAATTTAAATAATAAAGATTCTATTTTATAGCAAGACATCTAATACATTTATTTACATGTTTGGTACATTTACAATATTTGGTTTTTATATTTGCATAACCAAAGTATAACGTGAAGTAAATAAAATTTATTAATTTTATTATATCTGGTATAATAATCACTCTGTCATTCGCAAACATCGCACATCTCTCGGATGATTTTTTATTTTTTCCAGACATTGTACATTGTAAAAAGCACACGAGAAAGAGAGAAATTGCGGAAATGCTAGATACACATTAAAATTAATTCTAACACTATCGATTCAAAAAAAGATACCGAAAACCTTAACCCGTTATATGACTCTTATTATTAAATCTTTTATTTCATCGTTGGTTATTTATTTGGTCGTTGGTTATTTATTTCCCTCTCCTTTCTCGTTGTTGTGACCTAAACGCTTTCATTTTGTTATACCTTCGACAGTCATTCTGCGGCCTTCGTATACTGCGTACATATTTTAACATTGTGTCCGTTATTTTATAATTTTGACTTACCTACTTTCTTTCTGACTGACTTTCATCAAATGACTTCGTATCGTAATGGATTATTTATTAAGGTATTGACTGTTTTTTATTTATATTCAGTTTTTTATTATTTTACTCGTTGTGACAAACCATATCTTTAATTTGTTTCTTAATTTTAATCTCGTTTGTTCACATTTTTCATTATTATTTTATACACACTGAGATTGTTTGCAGTTTAGTCTGTATTCGTTAATTAATTTTGTAATCCCGATTATCGGATGTTCTTTTAGATTTGCTCGAGAAGGACCTAAACTCTAAGGTCGAAATGTCGTTATTGACGCAGATGCAGATAAATAGATTCGAATAACTCTTTATCTCACGAATAATGAGTGACAATTCAGAGTAGGAAAAAATTTTCTCCTAAACGAACATGCTCGGATTAAGTACCTGTCCGTAGACTGAACTTAAATAGTTCATTATTTACTTTACTCTACAGTTTTACTACCGCTTTAACTCTTTTTTACTTATGTAAGTATATACACAATCTTTAAATCGTTAAATTATTTAATAGTTGAAATATAATTGAAGTAAATACTACGTAACAATCTAGAACGCATAATCTTATCTTCGGGCACGCGAGTACATAATTATTGCAATTGATATAATAATAGTGCGAATAGTAACCACATAAATATATAAACAGCATTAAAAATGAAGTTATATCGCGAGGTTAAATGAGAAAACGATATAATTAATGATAAGAATAAGCATTTAAAGTAGAATTGTTCTACACGTGTGCCCATGGGGGATAATTGAATAGATTTATTGCTATAAAACAAATAATTATAACATAAAATAATGAAAATTTGTTCTTGGAGTTTTGCGAAAATAATTTGAGTTTATGTAAATGAACTAAA